CATCTAACATAAAAGCCTAAGTTGAGTTACTTACTATTAGCTCAAAATGACTGTTTTTTATACTTCTAAGCGTATATGTCATTTTCCTGGCATTCAAGATTTAGTGAAGTTCTATTTTCTTTTCTTTCTTGAGCAAATGTCAATAAATTACACTGCTGTCTGTAAGATATTAATAAGAGTAACTAAAGAAGTATACAAAAAAAATTTTAGATTATTTTGAGGACTTTAAATTTGAAGAAATTTTTTGGTCTGAATTGTTATGTTTAGAAAGAATCACCCATATATATATATATATATGGTCAAAAGAAATTTTAATTGTAGGGAATATAAGATATTACGTAATTTTTAAGAATGTAATTTTATACAGCAAAATACAACATTTGAGCAAAATCGGTCAAGTAATTCCTGAGAAATTGAATTTTAAAATTCGATTTCTCAGTTACTCAAATTTCGTATTTTGCCATGTAAAATTACATCTTTTAAATGCTGTAAAAAATTTTATACCTTACAATTCTACTTTTTTCTTCAATCATTATCAAATTAAATAATAAAAAATAATAATAAATATGTGCTGAAAGTCATATTTTGAGTGGAATTTTAATTGGATAAACAAATTTTTGTGTACAAAAATTTTTCAATTTGCTTAAAAAGTTCTCAAGATATGGCGGAATACTCAAAAAATGAAATTAACATTAAGGGTGTCTAAACTTTCGCCCTCTCTCGTGATCAAAGTATGGGGGCCATATTTCCAAAATTGCAGCTATCCCCTATATTTCGGAGATCTGAAATCCAAATCCGTCTAAAAAAAGGTATGTTTATTCAGAGAGCGTGAAAATCCGAGGATTAAATCAAAAGTTATTCAGGGTGGTCCGTTTTTTATTTTGCACACTGTACATTTGAGCACAAAAGATCTTGTTTTTTTTTTATCTTTCTTAATATTTTTTTTAAAACTTTTAAAAGAATTGTTAATTTCTAGTAGAAAAAAAGTGACATAATTCTAATTGCAAAAAGTAATACTTCATTGTCAATTATAAAAAAGTGACATTACTCACAGGTTTCTCCTAGTACACCAACCTTAAGCCTTATAATATTTTGATTTCTGTTATCCATTCCATTATTTATGTTACTCGTTATGCTTGTTTTGTTACCCATTCCATTTTTTATGTTACTCGTTCTGCTTGTTTTATTACCCATTCCATTTATTTTGTTACATTCACCGCTCAAGATTTCCCTGAACAACCGATTCCAATATTCAATAATAATGTCGAAATCACCTTTCCCCTGCCGTCTGACTATCTCTTATCTAAATTCAGAAGTTATAAATGACTATTATTGTGCTGCTCTCTGCCGATGATAAGAGAGAAAAGCAGTCGGTGATATGGTGAATAAGATAACAATAAATGATAAGGAAAATGTTATAATCGGAGCAAATATTCCAAAACTTTTAAAATTTAAAGAAAATCAAGCCTTTACAAATTTAATTATATAGATAATTGTAAATGGAAATATATCAGTTGTATAAATGCCCCATATGTCGTAAAGTAGTCAGGCTATATATTAGAAACTATAACTAAAGACGGGCATTTTAATTTCATATACTTTTAAGCAATAAATCTTTTCCAAATGATCCTATTTTTTTCCAAATATTCAGCAGATTATTTTCGATTGTTTTTTTTTCTTTTAAAAAAATAAATAAAAGTTAGTTAAATTATTTAGAATCTTCTTACTCACACTATTCATTTGAATTATTGTAGCCGCAATCTTTATTATCCACGATTGTTTTTTTTTTTTTCTTCGAGTGAAAAATTATTTAAGTGCTGTAACGACTGCTTATAATAATTTGAGAAAAATATATAGTATCTTCTATAGAAGATATTAACTCAGGAAAATTTAATTTTCATTTTATTAATAAGCATTTATTTGATATAAATTTATTATAGTTACATCTAGTAAAAAAATTGACCTCATTGAACATAAAAAAAAGCAAGCATGTAGTATAATAATTGATCTCATTGAACATAAAACAAGCAACCGAACATCAAAGGTGTTACTTAATTTTGACTTTATTAATAAGCACTTATTTGAAATAAATTAATTATAGTTACATCTAGTAAAAACAATTGGCCTCATTGAACATAAAAAAAACAACCGAACATCAAAAATGTTATTTAATTTTCATTTTATTAATATATTTTCATTTTATTAATATTATGGTATGCTATATTTCTTTGAAGGCAAGGCAAAGATATAAATTAATTATAGTTTCATCAAATGAAAAAATTGACCTCATTGAACATAAGCAATCGAACATCAAAAGTGTTATTTTTGAAAACATAAGTAAATAAAAAATCTCCTTCTTCGTATCCGCGGTTGCTCAAACCGAGGAAATCTTCAGGTTAAAAAAACAAAAAAAGAATCGAAATTCGGAACAATTAAAATTTTGCAACAAAAAGAGCAGAAATATAAAAAATACCGACGAAGAAAACGAAGTAAATAAGCAAACACTCGTTTACTGCGCTTGCGCGTTTACTCTAACGGGGAATACTATCTTCAGTTACTCTAACTCTGGGTTAGAGTAACTCGCAGTTACGTACACGGTGAAATGAAATTTTGGACTCTAACCTAGAGTTGCTCTCATAAAACCTGTTTTGAACTCTGACCGAGGGTTAGGGTCAATGGTGAATACGGGCGTAAATGAAAGAGTTCCTTTCAAAACTATGAATCTCAATAAAATGACATCATCTACAAAAGTGACGTCACAACCTACGTAATATTTAAATAGTAGCATCAAGCTTCACTTTGGATTTATAAAGTCAAGGCACAAGAGTTTATTAAGCAATGAAATAGAAAGAAGGATCAAAAATGGGTATATATATGTCACAAATATTGTACTTTATCTTTCATTATTATTTCTTTTTAAGTAATAACAATGATGATAATCAGTAGATAATTACATTTAAGAAAAGTGGTCATTTAAATTCTTTTAGAGTGTAGCGCTGAAATTTTATTTATTTAATTTTTTTTCCTAACTGCAGACAATTTTTACGTTCTTTCTTTTAACATACCTTTGAAATAGATTTGTTTATCGATTTAATCTTACCAAAATTAATTGTTTACCCGGCCTTTATAAATTTTTTCGACGGATTAGGATTTCTGACCTCCAAAATATACGGGGTAGCCACAATCCGGGAAATATGGTTCCTGTAGTTTGATCAGGAGAACGATCCAAAGTTTGAGCTCCTTAATGTTCATTTTACTTTTCGTGTATTTTGCCATACCCTACCCAACAATAATGGAAAAAGACACTTTCAGTTTTTGACAATTCCTTGAATTTCTCAAGAAATACTTTAAGGACTATTCTGTAATGTTAGTCATGCATAACAAATCAATACCTCTGGGAGTATTGATCCAGGAGTTTCTTTGTCTTCTGGTTTGGTTCAAAATTACAAGGCTACGGAGTTGAACATTAGTTGTCGTAAACCCAAAATTGGGTCGGCTGTTCAACGACGGATAAAATAAAAATAAATACCATAACCTTGAATTGAGTGCAGAATAAAATCTATTTCTACAGATTCCCTCTACTTCTGCCTAACGCATTATAATAAAATCGAAAACCATTATACGGTTGCTAATGCTTTGATTTCATTAAAATTCGTTAGGATTTCTCACGCCTTCTTTTCTGCCAACACATTTGAATGCATAAGGCTAAGAAAAGGAGCCATGGCATTAAATTCAATCAATTGATAGCTAATATACGGATTTCTTAACTTTCCATGGAGAAAACTATTTCAACGTACGCATTACACTTGCATTCTTGATTTCTTGATGGACGGAGGTGCATTGTGGGGTTTGGCATTGCAGCCTCACCATTTTCTACATTAATTAATTTATATGAATTTTTTTTTTTTTTTGCTTTGGAGCTTCATAACATTACACATAAATTTCAAAAATAAAACATTTTTATTTATTCTAATCTGATTCTTTATTAAGCAATTTATGATTTTTGTTAAATAATTGCTTGCCTACATCAGACTGGAATAATATATGGACGACAACACCAATCAACATTCTCTTCAACGAATAGTAAATTCATCGAATTTCTTCAAGCATCCAACCTCTCAACTAATGGAATCGAAACTAACTTGAACTCATTAACATCTTCAACTTATGGTAAAGGCTAATCAAACCTCTTCAACAAAATATAAATTTCATCTAGCAATCATAACTGCTTTCCTTGATATAAATTGTGCCTTGATCACGATATTTATTTATTGAAATTTATTTCTTGAAAATACCAATGTGACTGCTCTTTCAGTGAATAACAACGATGAAATAACGCTGTACCAAATTGGCCGGTACATCAGCTCCAATGAAGCTGTTTGGCGTATCTTTGGTTTCCCAATTCATGAACGGGATCTAACCATTATTCATTTAGCTATCCATCTTGAAAACGGTCAGAGAGTATATTTCACGAATGAGACATCGATTGACAGAGCTATAAATCCACCAAAAACTACACTCCCCGAATTTTTTGAATTGTGTAATCGTGCGGATGCTTTTGGTTCTTTTACACGGACATTACTCTACTCAGAAGTACCGCACTATTTCACATGGGCTCAAACAAAAAAAAATGAACACGCCGCAAGCAAGGCACACCGGTTGATGCATGCCCCGGTTTATTAAAATCAAACGCCTTGGGGAGAGTATTTACAGTCAATCCAAGGCAGACGGAGTGCTTCGATTTTCGACTGTTGTTGGTTAATGTCACCGGCTCATTGTCATTTCAAGATATACGAAAAGTCGATGGACATCAGCATTCAACGTATAAAAATGCATGCCTTGCACTCGGCTTGGTGGAAGACGACAACCAGTGGGAATGTATGCTTGCTGAAGTAGCATTGAACTGTACTGCAAAGCAAATTCGTCTACTATTTGCTATAGTATTAACTACATGTTTCCCGGCCCGTATAGAAACGCTATGGGATAGTCACAAAGATTCGATGACTGATGATATACGGTATCAACATCGCACACGTTGCAACGATTTAACGATAGTATTCTGCGATGCTATGTACAAAGAAGCACTGATTGCTATTGAGGATCTTAGCATTATTATTGACAACTTGCCACTCAGTTATTTCGGTATGCCTTCTCCAAATCGAAGTGCATCTTATTTATTGAACAATGACATGAATCGTGAACTTCAATACAATACGATAGAAATGGCAGTGATTGTTACTCACAATGTTCCACTAATGAATGAGGAACAAAGGAGCATTTATGACCGCATTATGCTCGCAATTTCGGCAGGACAAGGTGGATTTCTTTTGGATGCACCAGGTGGAACTGGCAAAACATTTATTATTTCGCTAATTCTCGCTGAAATACGATCAAATAATGGCATCGCGTTAGCCGTTTCATCATTTGGCATTGCGGCAACTTTATTGGATGGAGGCAGAACAGCTCATTCGGTATTTAAGCTGCCATTTAATATTCAAAGCAATCCAGAAGCAGTGTGCAACATAAAAAAGCAATCGTCTATGGGCACAGTGTTTCAACACTGTAAAATTATCATCTGGGATGAGTGCACTATGGCACACAAACATTCGCTTGAGGCGTTGAACAGGACATTGAAAGATATAAAAAACAATGACAAATTATTTGGCGATTTTTACTCCTTTTTTACTCCTATTATTACTTATTATTTTTTTACTCCTTTCAGGTGATTTCAGAGGAACACTTCCCGTCATTCCGCGTTCAATGTACGCTGATGAGATCAATGCTTGCTTGAAATCATCTCCACTGTGGCGTAATGTTGAAAAAGTTCAACTAAAAGTAAATATACGCGTCCAAATGCTTCAAGATCCATCTGCTGAAACATTCTCAAAACAATTGTTAGACATCGGTGATGGAAAAGTTACTAAGGATGAGAATGGATGCATGAAATTACCGGACGATTTCTGCACAATCATTGATTCACAAGATGCTCTCATTAACCTAATATTTCCCGATGTACACACACAATACATTCATCATGAGTGGCTGGCAGAAAAGGCGATTTTAGCTGCAAAAAATGTGGACGTCAACGAATTGAATCTGAAGATACAACAGTTATTGCCAGGTAATATATAAATCCGTTGATGCAGTTTACGATCCCATTGATGCTACAAATTTTCCAACAGAGTTTTTAAACTCATTGGATTTACCAAGCATACCACCGCCTAATTTAGTACTCAAAGTTGGATCTCCGGTTATTTTGCTTCATAATTTGAACCCACCACGCCTGTGCAAGCGGCACGAGATTAGTCGTTAAAAAACTAATGAACAACGTTATTGAAGTCATTATTTTAAATGACAAATTCCGAGGTGAAAGTGTATTTCTTTCACGAATCCCTATTATACCCAGAGATGTGCCAATTCAATTTAAACGCATTCAGTTCCCCATTAGATTGGCATTTGCAATGACAAGGCCAAACAATGTCTGTTTGTGTCTTAGATTTGAGCACACCATGTCTTTCACGCAGACAATTAATCATACGTGGCATGCTCTCGAGTGGGCAAACCATCCAGTTTATTTGTGTAAGCTAAAGATGGAATGACAAAAAATATTGCACACTCCATTACACGAAGAGATTAATATTGTTGACTAATATTTTCATTGTATATATGAAATAATATGTATATATGATATTTATAAAAAAAAGTTTACACAAATTAAAAAAATTGTTATTTGGTGTGTCATCGTTTACAGAGCTCCATGCCTCTTCCACTCATATACCACATACACACACACTTACAAAAAATTAGATATATTTACATACTCTAGAAATAATCCATATGGCAGAACAACGTTTGCCGGGACAGCTAGTCTATATATATATATATATGCCGGTACATC